CAATCTTTGGGCGTCCATAGGATGGATCTCTCATCCCTTCACATCTAATGTTCAAAGCCTTCACAAATTTGTAAATCACCACCGTTCTAGAATATGCTCAGTTTTCTATTTGGAGCTAACCCGAGTTGAGAATTATCAGAGTTACATTGAAGTTGTCAGCTGTCCAAATAGACAGAACAAGGTGAGGACATGGGTGCATGAGTCGAACTTCCATCTTTTGACCAAATGAAACTTGCCTAAAATAGAACGTAATGAGGGAATTGACTGTAGCTCAAGGTTCAAGCTTCCCATTTCATACTCTCATACACTTGTGGCATCATTAACAGCCTCCTCAAAAGGGAATTGACTGAACTCATTGATAATTTCTGGGAGTCTTGCCTTTTCGTGCTAATTGATTTTGGAAGCCCAAATCTTAGAGGGCCAAGGGTATCTTGACACTTTAGTGGAAGAACTATCTACAAATCATAGGTTTTCAAGAACTTCCATGGATCATCTATCATGGACTTGCTGTAAAACAATTCAGGCCTATCCTGTGCTGAGACATAAGAATGGAAGCTCCACCCTCTTCCTCTATCCCGTCCTGAACCGTTGCTAGGACTTTTGTAGAAACGGTAATGGCTGCCTCTTCCTGAACTAGGATTACCACTACCTCTCCAACCTGAACCATTTCCAGAACGAAAACTGCTGCCTTTTCCTGAACCAGAACTGGAGCTGCCTCCTCGTCTGAGACAGGGACTGGGGATACCACCACTCCTTGATGAATTGAAGGGAAAACTATAACTATAACCAGACACACCTGCATATCTGTTATAGGCCCCGGGAGTTCCTTGATGCCCAAGAAAGGGACTAGCCATTCCACCTGGGCTTCCCCAGGAATCAGAGCCATGAAGGACCATATTTGTTTCATATGTTTTCGGATCAGGAGAATAACTAGTTTGTAACTGATGAGCAGGAGAAGAAAACATGTAAGGACTCCTTGTACCTGCTGAGTTGAAAGAAAGAAAAATTGAACGTTCTCACTTCTCAGACTTGGGCATACGTAATTTTTTACATACAACAGATCAGATTCAGATGAACCAATATTCCCTGCACAATATATTATTTAACCAATAGTTTTAAAGAACATTATGATTCATAAAACAAGGACAAATGATCATTTTTTCACACAGCGCAGGAAAAAGGTTCCTTATTTGGGTCAGGTACGAAACTTCCCTTCATGACCTACCTATTTCTGCCATGTGGAGTGATAGTGTGGCAGATTTAAACCATCCACCCAGGCAGGGGAACCTTCAAATAAGCCAGATTTTCCATCCTCCCATCCATGTCTGCTCTATACCTAACCTTGTATAGGGGTCCCCTAACAAATGTTAGTCATTGAATGTTTTAACCTTTTAACATTACCCACTTGATTCATGTAACCCATCTAGCAAATTCCTCCCTCTCTCCTGATATGCATCTTGGACCAAAAATCACACAACATGGGACAATAATGAAATAGTTTCATCAATATGACCTAGAAAATTATTCAGTGACTTCAAGAACGCAAACACATGAAAGGACCATTACCCAATATTGGTCCCAGGTATCCATAGTCTTGGGAGGGTGGACAGGATATAAACCTAGCTTGCATTTTAGCACAAAGTGGCTACTCTGTGCTGTCAGACTTGAATCAATATTCTTGACTGTCAACATTTGTCAGCCTTAGGTGTTATTATTGCACCAATAAATGGCCCCCAAAAAGGTACAGTACCTAAAAGACTTAAAAGGTTTCCTTCTATGTGGAGGGTAACATGACAAATTCAGACCATGCAACTTATAGGGAACCCTTTGTTAGCCAGGTGTCTCTTCCTCGTCCACATGAAACCAGAACCAATATATTGTTGAAGGGTTAAAAGAACTAGGTTTAGACCAAAAAGGACATGGATTGAAGTAGGTAGAAATGATTTAATGGGCCCACAATTAACAAAGGATATGGTACAGAACAGGATTGAATGGTGGAACGGGACTCATGTACCCAACTCCATATATAGTTGGTACATGGTTTAAATGATGAAGAGGTGAGAAAATAACTTGTCTCTTGGGCTGTCATCTCTGCTACTATGTTGAAAAAAAATACAAAATGCTTCCAATCATGTCTTATCTGTACAGCATACCAACCTTATATTTTACATAAACCGCCATTACAGATAAATGAGTTATTTGGCACACAGGTGAAAAAAAAATATAAACCAACATTAAATGAAATAAGGCAGTGGTCCAACATAACAAATGCCAAGTTGACCCTGGGCACTGGGAAAGCTAAAAAGAAAACTGAAAAGCCAAGCACTAGCCTGGTTTCATAGTGGCTATACTTTGGAAGTAATCAGCACCGCCTTGGACAATACTGTTGATGAATTTTGTTTGGGAAGTCGGTTACAATTTTGCAACTGTTTATACAGTCTTCTAATAATGGGGCAATTCCATGAATTCAATACAATAGCACAAAGTATGAAGGACAGAGAAAGCAGAGCTGGGGATTGATGAATACGTAAAAAAGTCATTGAATGATAAGAGGAAGATCAAAATGGAAATAGACATTACACTGACAGATCAACAGATAACAAGGATAGCTGTGACAATAGAAGTCAATCACATTGGTATTGTTGACTGAGACTGAATTGTTATTGACTATGAAAGGTGGTTTCAATTTGCAACTTGTATTCCTTCATTGGGACTCCAAATTTGATAATAGAGCTTTAACTGTTGACTTTCTAAGCCCACCCCCACATTACCCACAAGGCCACAACCACAATGTTCTGTATTGCCAAATAGTCTACCAAATGAAAACAAGAATTAAATAAAGGGAGATATTTTTACGAAGAGTATAGTACCAGAAAGATGTGATGATACCCTAACCACAGGAGAACCACTACTAATAGAAGGGAACACATCATCCTGTGGCATCTGCAAACTGCTCCTCCTCCTCTTGTTACCAGAGAAAGCTGACATAGGGTCTGTATAATAATCAAACCTTGGAACAGAAAGTGAGTTTTCCTTGGTTAGTGGGGTTGAATAAGGTTCGATTAACGGATTGGAAAGACATCCCTTTGTTGTAGAAATGTCAACACTACAAAAAACTTCAACCTGAGCGGCCTCAAGACGCATTGCTTTCAGTCTTTCACCTCTTTGCTCTGCTTCTTCCATCTTATATTGAGGTTAACAAAAGAAAGAAAAGGAAAGTCTGCAACAGGTCAGTTCTTCAAGATTCATCCATGCATGCATAAATTAAAAACTTCTTTATATGTCCATAAGTAAATCAATTCTGAATGTAAACAAATTCACATACTTGATTTATTAATAAAGTGCGTCCTCCAAATTCCGGATTTTATAATTTATATAATTCAAGTCTTGCCCTTTTTCCTTCTTTCTTCCGTCCATTTTTTAAGGGTTATACATGGAATCAGGAAGGCTATAACATTTATTATGTTTTATAATTCAAAACCTTTTAGCTTGGAGAGTTACAACATCTCATTTGCAGCTGATAAGAGTTTCTTCCTCCCAGAAGCATAACTCAAGTGTGTTTAATGTAAATTGCTCGTTTGAATTGTTATTTCATGGAGCAATGAGGAATTGGCACAAACCCATCATACCAGAGATAAAATTCTTATTTTTCTTTTCATGGTTTTCTGTCAAATTCAACCCCCACCCAAAAAAATGAAAGGGAAAAAAAAAGAAGAAGCCCACCTTGCAAATGTGTAAGAAATTGCAATCGTAATAAAGGTTCCTTTTAAAATGATCAAATTGAGAATACATATAAGAATCACAACTAGGTTAAGTAATGATTTGGGTTCAAAATTCAAATATACGAAGCGTAAACCACCCTGCGTCATTTTTTATCCAAAAAAAAAAACACCCTGCTGCGTCATTCAACGCAACGTTGAGACACGGGAAAAGAGCAGAAACAATTCTACGAACAATCCTTAACTAGAAAATAACACAAAAAACTTCAAAGGCGGAAAAAAGACATGTCCTACTAAAATTGCAAATAGAACAGATGCTTGAATTAGAGCAAATCAAAGGTTGGAAACTTGGAATATTTGAATTAGTTTTGCAGAAGTCTTTGGAAGGGGAGAGAAAGATTTACCTCTATTAGGTAATGTTTGGTGAGGAGAGTCACAACCGGGGAAGAGTGCACGGTGAAAATCACCGACTGACCATGCTTTCTGAGTTTTACAGTCTTCGATTTGAAGCCCCCAATGGTCACTTTCGTCCACGTCTACGAGAGGTAAATAGAAAAAAAAAAGCTTTGTTCTGTTTGGGAAGGCTGTTTCACAACACAGTTGCCTGTCGCCCATGCTAACGTGTCGAAGCTGAAAAACAGCCAAAAACTGTTTTGCAGATAAATAGGCCAAAACGCCAAGCACAAGTAATGGATACGTGTAAAGTATAGTATATGATAATGACAAGAAGCGTTTGATACATTCGGAACCAAGAATAAAAATTTTACTTTTTCATTCATGGTGTCTCTTCTTTTGCAGATAAAATACATACAAACTGCACTCTCAGTTTGAGAAAGAGAGAGAGGGTAAAAACATGAAAATTTCAATTGTAAATTCATAGAGATCCATCATTCTTCCATATGCCCATCTGAAGTCTGAACAAATCCAAAATTAATTTGGACGGACCAAAAGATTGGACTGGACTTAAGTCCATCGGTAATAAATTTATATTAAAATATCTGGTCCATTGATATAACATAAAAATATCAATTGACTGGGTTTGAATTGAAACCAATTTAAATTAAAATGAATTTGAAGGATTGAATTTGACCTGACCCATTTATAATAAATTTAGATTGGACTGGACCAGATTGGATCAAATTCAATCCAATTGACATTCGTAGGGGGGATTACATATTATTAAATATATAATTAAGGAGCAGAATAAAAAACATAGGAACCTAAGTTGGGGCATGGTTATATGAGCAAATTAGATGCCGAAATTTCATTTAGACGGTGTTCGGAGCTAATGCCGTTTCTTAAGAGGCAGCATATGTTTTCTCAGATTTTCTATTTGGTACCGTTGCTGTTATAAATGCATTTTTCAATGCTATGTCAGTACACATTGTTAGTAACAGTAGAAAAATAGGAAAACATAAAAAAAAGTGTTTTCTTAGACTATACCTTTCCCAATTTTTAAGGCATGGTTTGAGAAAACGTTTTTTTTTTTTTTTTTTTTTTTTTTTGAAAAACAGCAAATCAAATAGAAGAAATTTTCCCAAAAAACGGATTTCTGATGTGGTGCCGTTTTCTGAAGAAATGGCATTGGTGCCAAATACCTAGGGGATGTTTGAAACCGTGGCCATTTTTCTGAAAAACGATGCCACGTTGGATCCACATAGGCGTTTCAACAAACACCCATATATGATTGTTTGGTTCACATGTTTTTTGAAAAAAACGCTTGAACCATGGGCATGCCTCATAAATTGGGACCCCACTGATGCATGAAATGTCAAATTTGGCGTTTCATGCATCAGTGAATCGTTGCCCCCAACAGTTGACTAATTGGCGATTACGTGTATCTTATGTGGTGCTTACCTGTCAGCACATAAAAAACGGTGATGAAAATCATTTTACAAACAACATATTATTGTTCACTGTCTACGTGGCAGAAACACTCCCAAATAAAATCAAAGTATTTTTTTTGTAATAAACGAATCTTGAAAGCATGCGCATTTTTTCTTGAAAATCGGTCCCAAAAAACATCCACATTTCGCATTTGAACTCTTTTTTTAGAGAATTGTTGCTGAAACGTTCATACTCCTAAAATTGAACTCTTTTTATTTTTTGGGTCCATAGGGAAAACATTAAGCAATGTGCAGAACAGTGGCTTCTACCTTCTGGCTTTACTAGGTGGCCTCCGGGCAGACAGCTATAAGCTATGACTCATGAAAAATCTGGAGAACTCAAATTGGTCAGTCATTCTAAGGGCTGTCCTCTTCAGCCTCTTTGAATAACTGATCTGGAGCACCTCAAATCAGTCTCAATAGGAGTGCAACTTCGGTTTTCATACTATTTTAGACTCGAGCTCCGGTCAAAGCTAACCTTGAGCCCAACCAAGTTGCACCCTTACCAATCAATCAGCCCTAGATTTCCCTTTCTTTACAGTATGGAAATTTAATCGGGGCAAAATTGTGGATCTGATTATATTGAAAACTATATTTGTTTATTTAAATAATAATTTAAAAATTAAAATTTGATAATATAATTTTAATAAAAATAATAAAAAATATTAAATTATTTATAAGCTAATAAATTAAATATTTTAACTAATATTATTTTATTTATCATTTATTATAAATAGGTTGTAACCTGTTGAATGGAGATTATCAAGAAATATTATAAATAGGTTGTAACTCAAATTAGTCAGTCATTCTCCCATATATCTTCTTTGCTCTTTCGTATCATGGTATCAGCGTGATCCGCGTCTTCTTGCTTCCTTTGCGGTTCTCGTTTCTCTTCTGCAATTTTTTTTTTTGATTTGGTCTGAGTTCGGTGGTCTCTTCCGCGTCTTTGTGCTCAACGGTTCTGCAATTTTCTTCTTCCCCGTTCGAACAAAGACAACCAGTGGCAGCAATATCTCTCGCTCCCGGCCATTCACTTTTCATCTCTCTCATTCTCTCTTTCCAATGAAATAAATCAGACGAGCACTGTTCATCGTCTTCCACCTCTCGATAGATGCGGCGATCAGTGGTGATTCCCTCCCCTCTGGCCTTGATCTCCCCTGCTCATCAGACGAGCACTGTTCTTGATCTCCCCTGCTCTCACTCTTCTTCGCGTGATGCAATCCACCCGCCCAATTCAAGGCAATCCACCCACGTGATGCTCTCCCCTGCTCTCACTCTGCATCCCTGCGGTTCAACTTAACAGCGGCACTGGTACGAGGAAGTCGACGTAATCGTCGACAGAAGGCAAACAAGCCGTCGAAAACAGGGCAGATTAGTTCCTATCCTCTCCAAAACTTTAATCGCGTGCTTCCTATCGGAATTCGTAAGAATGATCTTTCTCTGGTTGATGCTTCGTAAAAGAGCTCGTAATTGAGGATCTGGTTTGATCGCTTCATAAGGCAACCTTCCGTGCACGAAACCGTGGTAGTCGTCGGCATCGATGTCATAGTCTAGAAATCTCAAGCCGGCAAGAGAGCTCCCATATGTTTTGAAAAGCTCCATTCGTAGACTAGATGCTTTAACCTCTGCAAATCCGCGTTTCTTCACAAGAAATTCTTCGCCGACGTTGAAGCGCTTGAGGTGGCAGGTGTGTGTGTGGTCGAGGAGAGTCTCGGGTTTTACGGATACGAGGAAGTCGACAGAACTGGCGAGATAAGGGCGATTGACCTCCATACGACGGTGAAGAGAGTAGTGTAGGAATCCCTGATTGAAGGCTCGTAGAAATAGCACCCTCTCTGCTTCTTCTGCGTCTGGCCCTCCTGGGAGAGAAGCGCTCCCCACTGCTTGAGTGAAGCATGCAGCCCATGTAAGCAGAACCGAAACTTGTGTTTAAGGTCAATATTGAGAAGTTCTCGTAACTTAAAATTCAGTGTTTCTCCTCATGGATTCATGTGAAGCTGCTCAACATATTTCTCATCCCATCACTGTTAGCTTTGATGGCTCAAATTATGATTTATGGTCTCAAGAGATGCGCAGTTTTCTCAAGGGACGCCTTCTATGGCGGTATGTGACTGGTGAGATACCCAAACCCAATAAAATTGCTGATGAAACAGAGGATAAATTTGCTGAACGAATAGAAAAATGGGACGGAAAAAATCATCAAATATTGACCTGGTTTCGCAATACTTGTATTGCAAGCATCAAGTTGGAATTTCGCAGATATGACTCTCCTAAAGAGGTATGGGATTTCTTACAAGCTCCTTATTCTATTTCTGATGATGTGCATCAGTTTTAACTCTATAGGCGTCTTCACCGTATGAAGCAGCAACCTAAACAGACCATTCACAGTTATGCCTCTGAATTACAAGTTCTTTGGGATCAGTTGGCACAGTGTGAACCTGAATGGGATAGTACCTTTGCGGCCACTACTTATTCCAAACTTCGCGATCGCCAACGTGTTTGGCATCTTCTGACGACTCTCAGGGATGAGTATGAACCTATTAGTGGTACTCTACTTCATCGTAGCCCATTGCCCTCCTTTGAAGTTATGATCAAAGATTTGCTCTCTAAAGAAACTCAACTAAAAACACTTCAAGATGAGCGATCCTTACTATCTACTGATGTTGTTCTTGCTACTCCGGGTACATCTAGTACTTGTTCAACTTCCTCTAAATCCTCAAAACGGAGTTTTTGCAATTACTGCAAAAAGACTGGTCACACTATTTCTGAGTGCCGCCGCCTGCAAGCCAAAAAGGCATCTGGACAGAAGTCCTCATCCATGGGTTCTCAGGCTTCGAGTTCTACTGCCGCTGCTGCCACAGAGGATTCTTTTGATAACACTTCTCAAAAATTTTCTCTTCAAGATCTCCAAGCCCTTCTTCACCAGCTCCAACCTGCTTCTAGTATGCCTTCTAATTCAGTATTGTCCGTCACTCCATGTACTACATCATCATGGTATTTTGATTCTGCATGTTACAATCATATGACATCCAATTCATCATTGTTTACTTCCAAGTCCCAACCTTCTATTGCACCAATTGTTCATACTGTCGATAGTTCAACTCTAACTGTCAAAAGTATAGGAACTATTTCAACATATCATTTGTCACTACCTAATACTTTTTTGGTACCTCAATTATCTCTAAATCTTATATCTGTTGGACAATTATGTGAACTTGGTTTTGACATACATTTCTCAAGTCGCGATTGTACTGTGCAGGATCCACGGACAGGGAAGATCATTGGGACAGGCCGTAAGGTTGGGAGACTGTTTGAGCTATCATCTCTTCAATTACCATCTCTTGTTGTTGCTGTCACTTCTAGCGTCTGGCATTCTCGTATTGGACACATTTCCACCTCTAGGTTAAGATCTTTAATTTCTAATGGATGTTTGTGTCCTATTAAAACAACACCCCTTGATTGTGTTTCTTGTTATCTTTCAAAACATCATGCTTTGCCTTTTAATATAAGTGATTTTGTTTCCTCTGCACCTTTTGATTTTATTCATTCTGATATTTGGGGACCTTCGCCTCATAATACCATGGGTGGTTCGCGTTATTTTGTAATTTTCGTTGATGATTTCTCTCGGTATACATGGATTTATCTCATGCGTAATAAATCTGAATTACATGCAATTTATATTCAATTTGCCACCATGATCAAAACTCAATTTTCCTCTATCATCAAGAT